TTATTAACCATTATTAACCATTATTAACCATTATTAACCATCAACCAGTACAGAACTGATGCATCCCCGTTCCAAACCATTTCAGTGGAACCAAACGGCAGTAGATTTTTGGGTTCCAGGACAAGCATCCCATCAGCATTGCGCGGGGCTATGCACCACCCAGCTATTCCAGAGTGGCCGGGGCTGCTCAGGGTGGCAGATGGGGACGACTCGGAAATCATGGAACAGGGATATCAGGATGATTGACCATGAAGATCTGAAATGACAAGGTAAAATGGGATTTACAACATGTTAAATCCTCGCATGGGCTTGAACATGATTGAACATGGATCCAGATGATGAGGTTTAAAGTTTGAACCAGCAGAACTTCGGGATATAACCAAACAGAATCAAGGAAATTGGGGATAGAAGCAACAGAAATGGATGGAAATTAGGGATGTAACATGGCTTCGGGTTGACGGTGTTAACAAGTACTGCCCAGGAGACTGTACCCAGCTGAGCTGCTGGGGTGTGGGGGTTGCTGTTTGATTTCCCATCTTTGTTGGTGTTGGTGTTGGGGTTGTTTCAAGGCTTTAACTATGTTGAAATGACATACATCCATGCATCTTGCCTAAGTGCATAATTTGTTTTTGAACAAACTTGGGTACTGGAAGGTGCCGCCCCAGTTATGTTTGCTGGTTTATGTTGACACATCCAACAAGTTTTATATTTTATATATCATACATTTTTCTATATCTAACATAATCCAATGAGCAGTCTGGTTATGAGCCAAATTAGCTATCATAAATCAACTATTGTCAACTGTAAACCTCTATTTTTCATTATGTTTCATCGCTGAATCATGTGACATCTTGGCTTTTGCTGGTTAAAAATGGTACTGTAGATGTTTCATGTGGCAGCCGCAGGTGAAGCTTCGCTTCTACGGACCCTCGGCGGTTGAACAACTTTTTAAGGTTGTTACGGATCCATATCATGACGCTTCACAGCCCTTCCCGTCGATTTTTTCGTTTTTGTGGCTGACAAGTAACTACCCTCTGGTAAACAAACATAGCTATTGAAAATGGCCATTTCGAGTGGATTTGCCCATAAAAGTGTGTGATTTTCCATAGTTTTTTGTGACCGTTTACCAGAGGGTATGTGGAGCTGGGAACCAGTTCTCTTGGATCAAGCTGGAAAATCCGCTGTTGTCGATGGTTGTCCAAAAAGTTGTCTTATTCAGAAGCCCATGTTTTCGGATTTCCCAACAATGGATGAGGACACTGGAGGGTATACCAGCCTCCATGTTGGCCCCCCCCCGATCTGACATGGGGGGATGCTGTAACCCAACAATTTGTTAGGTGCTTTCAAACAAACATGTTTTCGTATGGTAATGATCCCGATTGACTTATAGAATCTCTGATTGGTGGTTGCAAAATGTTTATTTATGTTCAAGCCGAGACTTTGACATGATGATCCTAAATGAGTATATTATAAGTACACAATATGTTTCAGATGGGTTGAAACAACCAATCAATCAGTTCTATTTTTGGGTCTTGACTACGTTCCTCGAACCCACACTCCTAATTTTGGAAGTTTCGACCCATAAATTTGGGCACTAGTCATCCAAACATCCACAAGTAAAATCCAATATGTCGATCATTTTTCCGAGCTTGTAACAATTGAATTTGTCCATGTCTATGTTGCGTTACCGGAGGGTACAGTATCTGATGAGGTTTACTAAAATAGGGGTACCCTAAATCATTCAAATTTCGACCATTTTTAGTATTGAAATCCATGGTTTTCATTCGTTCTCAGGCCCTGATCCTTTGATGAAAGATGCCGGGTGCGGGCCCGAAGGGCCCCAGGGATAACCAGAATTGGTGGGAAAATGGGTAGGAAACCCGGAGATTCTTGGAAACCTCAGTGTAAAGAGCATGGTTTCCTGTAGGTGTAGACTGTTAGTCCAGTTAGCCCATTGATATTTACTGATATCCATTGATCATAAATCGAAAATCGTCAAATTTGACTGGTTGGTCGGGTCTCAAAGGGGTGCGGATTTGTTGATTTCTGGTTGATACAGCTGGGATGATCCAGCTGGGAATCCCCCAGAGAATCATGAAATATTGGGGATGTTGCCCAGTAATGATGGGGTAATTTCACCAGTCATATTTGGGGAATGATGATTAGTACTATTACTGAGAAACCAAATTTTACTGGGAAAGTACTGCATGGTTTTTGTTGACTCCTCCAATGAGCTTAAGAAATCTTAAGAATCAAGAGTTAAGATTAGGGACCCGGCAATGTCAGATTGGGGGGTCCTTGCCAGGGTGCACCCCGGATGGTTGTTAAACGCATGAAATCCCCATCAAAACAGCTGGTACTCGTACATGGATAGTCGTCATACTGTAAATGAATTGTTACCCTCCAGGAAACTAACAAAGCAATGGAAAATCATCATTAAAACAATAGGTAAATGATGGTAAACGACATACACATGGATAATTTTACATAGCTGTGGGGTATCATAGTTTTTGTCGCATTCATCCCAGCTAAGGCATTTCCGACTAAATCCGAAATGTGTCATATGTCATGATATGTTTCTTACGTCTTCTGACCCACATAGCAACTAGGATGCGCATCCAAACAGTTTTTTAATTTCTTATTGCTTCTTCAATATAAAATCCCTCGGCAGAACTTGACCAACATATGATAACATATGATGACCTAGGGACTACCCCCAATCCCCATGGACTGCATTTATATCCACAATATCCAAACTAAACCATCTGAAATTCATCTGGGCAAATTCCCATAATGTGAGCCACAGATCAAGAACTCTTACTGTAATTCCCCACCTGCCAGGTGAGGGTTGTTAGATTTTATGTCAGTTGCCTGCTCCTCCTCTCCTCTCCTCTCCTCATCTCCTCTCCTCCTCCTCCTCGTCTCCTCTCCTCGTCTCCTCTCCTCCTGCTCCCTGCCGGACCTCAACCACGACCATCCACGCCCAGTGTGCCCTGCCGGACCTCAACCACGACCATCACCGCCCAGTGTTCCCTGCCGGACCTCAGCCGCGAGTATCCACGCCCAGTGTTCCCTGCCGGACCTCAACCACGACCATCCCCGCCCAGTGTTCCCTGCCGGACCTCAACCACGACCATCCACGCCCAGTGTTCCCTGCCGGACCTCAACCACGACCATCCACGCCAAGTGTTCCCTGCCGGACCTCATGTAGGAAGATAAAATGTCAGATAGAGTGCCAGAAGATTTGCCAGGTAGAATGCCAGAAAATATGCCAGAAGATATGCCAGATAGATATGCCAGAAGATATTCCAGAAGATATTCCAGATAGAATGCCAGATCGAATGCCAGATAGAATGCCAGAAGATATGTCAGAATATATGCCAGAAGATATGCCAGATAGAATGCCAGATAGAATGCCAGAAGATATGTCAGATAGAATGCCAGAAGATATGCCAGATAGAATGCCAGAAGATTTGTCAGATACAATGCCAGAAAATATGCCAGAAGATATGCCAGATAGAATGCCAAATAGAATGTCAGAAGATATGTCAGATAGAATGCCAGAAGATGTGCCAGTAAGAACATGTATAAATGTCATGGTGGGGATCACACGAAGTAAAGTAATTGATGAATTAGGTGGTTTTTATCCCAAATATAGTCTGGTTGGTGGTTTGGAACATTTTTTTTATTTTCCATATTATATGGGATAATCCTTCCCATTGACTAATATTTTTCAGAGGGGTTGAAAACACCAACCAGTAATCATTGGCTGTTTAAAAAAAAACTAAACTGGTACTCGCCAAACTGGCGCCACGTTGCGTAGGCCAAACTGGCCCAGTGGCTCCGAAGGCGTCCCGAAACATGGGGGCGTTTGGCGGTTTGGCCGGAGATGATTGTAGCAGTCCCAAGAAATGTAGAAGAGTAAACACAGTCACAAATAGTGGCAAATGAGTAAACACCTACAAGAATAGGGGTTATATAGGTTTATTATGGTTTATTCATATGTTTTTGGTATAAATTGTATCTTCTGAAGTTGTTCTACCTTTTCAGAATTTACTAAATTCCACCAATAGGTTTATTTCTGATTTGGCAATTATCAGAATTTGCCCGGAATGGGCCTGGAATGATAGTTTATCTCGGAGGGTCATGGATCATGGGGAAACCAACATTTTCGTTGTTTTTCACCGTTTTTTTGGTCATTTCCTGCACTTGAAATCTTTTCTAAGCGACATCTGAAGATGCAGCAGCTGTTTCGAGAATGTTTCAGATGTTGCTGAGAGTCTGAGAATAAGATATCCCTGATCCCAGTGCTTAATCATTATCGTCCTTATCAAATGATCGTTTGAGAGGTATGTTTAATACCCCACTTTACGCACTTGCAGCAGGCGTACGCATCATTTGTACGCATCGTGTTTCGTAGGGAGTTCAACCAGTGGCCCATGGCTTTATACCATGTGTACAATTTCCTGCACCTAAACAGTGGTGAAAGATGCCCATGTTTCAATGATGCCCAAGTCACTTCGGGACATTCATGTTGTAATAGTTTTGCAGTGTCTATGCCAAATGTGAAGTATCATTCTCACTATCGGCCTGGTTTGTTGGTCTGCTTTTTTTGGTGTGTGGTCCGGTATCAGCTTAGAAACTGTTGGTATTGGAAGTTGAAGAAGGTTGCAAGATTCGCGGAAACAAAACGGCTGATCACATTTAACTTTCATGGATGCATGATCGGAATAAATAGCAAAGTTAATGTGCCGATCAAGAAACCCTGGACTGTAGCAACCGACTTGCCATCTCTTGGAGTCGAATTGTCAAAATATCGATGTGACCATTCTCATGATGATATCCAGGGCAGAGGCAAGGATTTGAAATCAACTGAGAGGTACTATATGCCATGACTGATTTGATTCATTTTGTCTTTCGCGTAGCAACCTTTCAAGCTTGTACTTCGCTTGTCGCAATTCGCACTCATGCCGTATCGACGATGGCCGGACCTCCAGAGAATGCTGATCGAAGTGTTGGCGTCGTGGGTGCCCGATGAGGGGAAGTTCACCGTCTACGAGAGGATCCTGGGGTCAACGGCTGAGGACCTCGTGTCCTGCTACCATTGGTGGCGGGGTTACACGAGGTTCTCAGCCATAGGAGGGTCTTGGGGTTGGTGAGGAGATCGCGGTGCTTGGCCAACGATAGGTGGGTCCTCTGGGGGACCCACCCATTCGAGAGGTGGTGGGCACCAGCCTGGCTCGTCCGCTGAGGACAAGGCCTGCATCAGGAAGACTGGAGAATTTGATGCTGTTGATGCATCCCATAATCCGATAGCAACCCTCGGCCAGCTACAGCAAGAGCTGTATGTCCGGCCGAGGGGGGAGTGGCACATCTCCCTCTGAGCAGCCAAGACTGCTATTTAGATTTTTTTAATCTGGCCTCCGAATGTAGCTGCGTTGCTGTTGTTGTTGTTGTTGTTCCTCTTGGTGTTCGTGGGCTGAATGATGAATATATGAATGCTATGTGCTCTTAGTTAGTTGTGAGAGCCTGATGTGAATAGTTGCCCCGAGCGGCAAGCTTCTGCATTCATCTCTGGTTGAGCAAGATGTGCAAGAAAGATTAGGTATCGGAGGGCTATTTATTTTTGGATATTTTTTCGCGGCGGTTTTGTTTTTTTGGGGTTCCTGGTTCTATGCTTTCCTGTTTCTCTGATTTTCTGCTTTTCTGCTTCTCTGCTTCTCTGCTTTTCTGCTTCTCTGCTACATTGCTTCTCTGCTTTTCCTGCTTCTCTGCTTTTCTGCTTCTCTGCTTTTCTGCATTTTGCTTTCCCTGCTTCTCTGCTTTTCCTGCTTCTCTGCTTTTCTTCTTTCTGCGTTTCCTGCATATTCGCGTTTCTGCTTCTCTGTTTTCCAATGAAGATAGAATGACAGCTCTGAGCACATCAACTGGTAGGTAAGAGTTTGCATTGCTGCTTCATGTCTGACAAACCATAGGGCGATTGTCAACAAAGAGAAAACAACTATTGGCAAAGCAAGCGGCGGCCATGGGGCAATTCAAACCTGTTTTTAGCGCTTGACACTTAGGGGACAGGGGGTCAGAGGGTGCAGGGTTATATATGGGGACATTGGGGCACCGGCATGGGTACACAAGGTCGAGTATGATGATTATATCATTATATCATATTATCTGATTCTTGGACCATCGCTGTGGCCCACGTTCAAGCGAGCCAAAAATCAACACATAAACGAGCCAAACGCCCATGTTCAAGTGAACCCCCGCCCCCCATTCATATCCATTCATATATAATCTATTACGAAATATATTACATACTATTATTATCATTGTTATCTGGTGGTGGTTTCCGTTTCGCAAAAAATGCCGAAGCTATTAATGGAGGTTGGTTAGTCGGGGGAAAGCACCGAGAAACAAGATTGTAACCCAATGGATAAACCTGGATCAATTAAAAGGATCTCACCACAAGGTCGCCAAAAAAGAAGCAAGATCGATGATGATGATGATGATGATGAAAATGATGATGATGATGGTTTTAATAGGGAAACTTGGAATCACCATGAATAACAAATGGGCAGGTGAGATCATGGAGTACATCGTTGGCTGGCGCTGGCTATACGCGTGCCCGGTCACGGGAAACCGGATAGATCAGACTTCGATGGCTGGAGATCAGTACTAGTTGGAAGATTTTGCGATGTCCATCTCACTTCTGATGCGGGATTGTAAAGATCCAAGTCTCGCGAGGTTTTTTAGGGATGGTAGGTGTTGCAATACCATTGAAGGCATAGGTTTTTTTTGTACCTTTAGTTTTCGTTCACCCACCCATTATATAAGCATCATTAAACATCATTAAACATCATTACACAACATTAAACATGGGTTGTGTTCAGGTTTCAATAAGGAAACTGTCAGTCGCTACTGTCAGTGCTATTCGAGAAATCGGGCGTCCCGATGTGGCCCTTTGGACGGAGAAAATCTCCATTTTTGGACACCAGAAACGAAACAAATCAGCAGTTCGTAGATGTTTATATGATATAGAAATATGTTGTTTATCAGCAGTTCATATAGATATTATTTAGCATGATATAATTAATATGATATATTTTGATATAATATGATATGATATAATATTATATATTATATACATAAACATAAAACTACAATTTGCGGATATATTTGGGGTGATAATTGCCCATCACTTAGACACCCTATTCGGCCGTGGGGTGCTCCAGAGGTACTGGGATGGTCCCCTGGTCGACGAGGCTCGATCAACGCGGGGGATAAGGTAATGGTTAATGGATAATAGTAGAAGAAACTAACGGTTAGTAATGGTTATAGAATCAAGTTACAACTTGTAACATCTTATAACCATGATATGCAGTGGGGTTAATCAGGGTTTGTTATATAACCATTATGTTAAATCAACATGATTTACTATGGATTAACATATTGTGTTGGCTGGTAAACATGGATATGAGATTGTCGGAAAGTTGATCGATACCCAAAAAGGAAAAAATGGTGGAGAAGATGAGAATCCCCTTGGAATTGGGGTCCCAGTCAATCTTCATAGAATCCCAAGTGAAAGGCCTTGGGAGAAGAACAGATGGAGTGTTTATGTTTGTTGTGGCAAAAAGAGTGGAATTGGAACGGAGGAAATTTTTGAAACTTGGCATGGTTGAAATCGCTGAACATATTCGAAAACATCGACAATGGTTGAAAATCCCTGCGATCACATGAATTTTCTGGCGGACACAATCAAAATCACTTCGTATCATTGATTTGTCGGGGATTTACGGACATGCCAGAAGTTTTCAGACGTATAGGCAAACTGAAAAAAATCTTATAACTGATTTAGATGGAAGCAACAATCACACTCGACGCTAGTTCTCAGCAAAGTATGAGCCAGACAAGTTCATGGTCCCTTGCAGGAATGAGTGCGAGTGAGTCCCTCCTAGTGGAAGTCTCCTTTATTAGTACCCACCGATTATCAAGCATGGCGCGCTGGGACACCCCACAGTCAAGTTCGATGATGTTCTCAGCTAGAAACTTCCATTTACTGTAGCTCGGCAATTTCCGAGCCAGCCAAGTTTGATTGTGGAAGGGCAGTTAGGAGCCCTGGTACATGATGATCAATATCAATGGTGGCTATATCATTGGGGGGAAGCTCTCCAATTTCCGAATCTGGTTATCTACAATAGTCCAGATCCTGCAATTCCTTTTCTTCTCGGTTGACAGAGTCAGAGAATTTGGCGTTGAAAGATAGGGAAAATCATCAGCTCAGAGGGGTTTAGGGTATCATCCCGTGGATCGGTATGAGAAAAAACCTATGTGTCAACTAATTGGTCTAAAAATGATGCAACAAAAAGCGGGCCAAATATGGTTAGTTTCTTCACATTTCTCCCTCAAATCATTTTTTCACTCCAGGATGACTCTGAGACGTCCGGCGTCAGGTAGAGGATGCATGGAAGACCCCGCAATGGCCAAAGGTGGCTCAGAAGGCGACGGTGGGAGAAATGGTCAGAAACAAGCAGATATCTCATAATATTCACATAATTGATGGCATTCGTCGGCGATATACAGCTGAACCGTTAGATACGAACCGATTAAGAATTTTCCAGCCTACCCTGGGGTGCTTAAGTGCTATAGGTGGAAAATCTGGGAATTATGAACGAGGGCACCCTCAAGTTCGTAATGGGTTAGTTCTTAAGGGGTTCATATGGTGAGGGTTTTGCCAATTCATTTTGGCGTGGTAATAGGTTGCAAAGGAGGCTGGGGGAAGAAAAAACAAAAATTAGGTCCCGAAAAGTTTTTTCAGGTGCAGGCATTCCAAACAGAGTTCATAGGCCAGATATTCCACCACGCCAGGGCTTGAAAGTTGATTTTGGTGTGGTATTAGGTTGCAAAGGAGGTGGGTGGAAGGAAAAACAAATTTGGCTCCGAAAAGTTTTTTCTGGGTTTGGGCGCCCGAAACAAGGCAGCACAGGCAAGACAAGCCAAGGGCAGTCTCCGAGGTCAGATGACCTACAGTGAGTCTGGCTGGTCTCTAGCTGAAGCTGCCGGCATCAGCCTTAGTGACCACATACGGGTTTGAATCTTACTGGGGCCGCACCATGTCTGTCCTCGACATGGAGGTTCTGCGGTACATAATCTTTCCTTTTGGAAATAGCTGCTAATAATAATCATGCTTGGTATATACGGTATATTGATACCCGTTAAAGGGGAATAAGAGCCAGCGGCTAGAATTCCATCGTACCCTAGGGTTCTTATTTCAATTAGCTGACAGAAAGAGTTGAATCCAGCAATCCGGCCCTTGAAGTTCTTATTGCAGTAGGTTCTTAGACACTGGTTTCACTGTATCAAACAAATAATATCAAATCATCATGTCTCTGATGATGTTTGGTATACTTAAATTTTTTGATGCTGCTACACTCTCTGGTAATTTCAGATAGCCATGGAGAATTGCCACTAAATTATCTACAAATGGTCCATTTTCCGTAACCAAAAATATTACTTGTAATTACCAGTGGGCAAAGAATCACCAATGGGAACTAACCAACCAAAAAATGGAGGAATAGTCCACAACAATTGGGAAATAGTGAGAACCACGCGGGATTTCACCATCCACAGCTTGCAAATAATGAGTAAAAGAAGTCGTCAACAACCAAGACCGCGGATCCAACCAACGAAGATCGGTAAAATCCATGGTGAATAATCAACAACCAATGAAGCCGCGGATCCTGTTCACCAATAAACACATGGATTTAGCTAATGAACGATGGGATAAATTTTACCTCCACATCATGATGAAGGATGCCCTGCAGGCGAGAATCAGCATGTTTGGTGGTTCTAAATTACCATGAAATCACAATACCATGAAGTCATAATACCGAGTCATTTGATCATGTCCGAACTGTATAGCTCAGAATGATCACAAAGATTTTCAACGAGGTTTGAATATGTTCAACGATTTCAACCATGCAAAGATTTGCCAAGTTCCAAAAAATCCAAATGATGGTTTCCTCTGGATCATCGCGCCAGAGCTTGACGCTGAGAACGATCATAATGTCCATACAGGCCTATACACCCATATTTTGCATAGGTTTTTGCTCAGCAGCCGCAACAACGCGCAACTCAGAGAGAAGTGCAGCAAGTTTGGTTCATGGCTCCTGCCAGGGTGCACTGCATCTCTGCACGCTGGTGGCAGACATTTAGCAGGGTAGTTTTCAGGCATGGGGCCGTCTCAAAATTTGAAACCCCAAGTCTGCCGATTCTTCACTTTTTATCAGCAGCAATATTTTCTCATTAAAAGCGCCATGCTCGGCGAAAAAAAGCGGCATCCACTAGTATGAAACAATTGTGGTTTTTCCGGATAGTTTCCAAAAACGAGGACAAACAAATGTGCTCGGGCCTGGTTTCTCCGGTGTCCATGTTGACCAGCAAGGGAAATAGAGTTGTAAGCGATCTCTTCTAGATTTAGACTGCGCGTGCTTGGGTTTTTTGGAAAACTTTTAATGAAGTTGGGACCCAGGGTTTCTAAAGGTCAGCATCGAGATATTATACATCCTAAATTGGTAAGCACGAAGTCAAGGCCGGATCCATCAACCCCCACAACTAAACAGACCCAACTTTAGGAGCAAACTATTCGCCGGGGTATCAGAATCTGGGGTTGGCATGAGATATGATATAGCTGGAGAGCGGCATTAAGAGCACAACGTGCAGCCAATTGGACGTTTATCCTTTCACTGAAATCTTACTAGCTACGTGTAGAACATTGCTTTTGGGACCTCCATCCTTTAGATCGACAGCCCTGGCAAACAATCGAGTGACTACTCGCAGAAAAAAAACATGATTGGGGATGTGCATGCACGGATCTACCATGTATAAGGAATCCTTATGTAATCGTCGTGGGATGGCCAAGCCCGATGAGTCCTGTGTAACTTGACTGTGGGCACGAACAGTATAGAAACACTTGGTGGTGCAGATACGGTGTTGATGGTACAATACCATGGTGATTTCACCTCCGCAGTTTGGGGGATGGAGCCACTATATCTATGGTTCACAATATTCGATACCCAGATTCAACCAGATTGGGTCAGAGTCAACCAGATTGTGCAGTGTTCAAATGACCCAATCGTCCACGCGGCCCCGGCAAGCCTTGGGGGCAAGGAAGGATCAGATCTTTCAAGTATCACAATATAGACAACTGCAATTTGGATTTGCATTCCAAGTTTTGTGTGGTTTGAACCCATGGCTATTCCCAATGATTCTGCATTTATTGGAGCGGACATTCAGGTGGTCCGTTCGAAGGGTCTACTTTAAATATCGCAAAATTAATAGTTTTTGGGGAAATATCGTAGGGATAGGGTCCCGCATGTCCCATTTATGTTTCCCAACGGTCAGTTTGGGTGTATGTCCCAAATTTCAGACTCCCGGACATTAGAGAGAGTGCCTTTTTGTTTACTCTATGTTTTGTTGGTTTTGCAACCAGAGGCCCATAGATATCAGAATCGCATAGTGCACACCAATTATGTTTTTTTGGTATACATTGAGTGCCACCCAGTAACGGGTTTCCTTGTTAAAAAACTGGAGGAACACAAGCAAATCAGGTTTTCTTGGCTGCCAAGGGTTTCAATTCGAAAATTCCAAAATGTTGCAATTCCGTTGAAGGAGCAGTTTCCGGCTCCAAAATGCTGTAAATTGCAAGGAAAACGGACAGAGCAACAGATAAAAAACACGGGAAAAACATAATTGCCAAACCAATTTTGTGTTTTTTTTTTCGCAGGTAATCAGACACACACACGAATATAATCAATGCTGTTGGTTCGTTATATCCCATCAGTTATTGGTTCGTTATATCCCATCAGTTACCCTCTAATGATTTTGGAAAATTGCAATTTTTCACAGGTAAATCGTCATAATTCACCTATAGATGAGATATGAGTTTTTTGGGGGATTCTTCATATGTGAAATAACCAATGGGTGTATCCCAAAGTATATACCACACTGATATATATCATTCTATGAATCATATATATATATACCTAATCATCTATAACCCATATTATATCCAATTCTATACAATGATATCCCAGTTTCATCCATTTTCTACATCCCATTTTTAGATGACTAATATATTGTCATATAGTATCCATATCACAATTATATTAATAATATCCATAATATATATTACTATATAGTATCCATATCATTATTATTGTATAGTATCCATATCATTTTTATTGTATAGTATCCATTTATAGATGTTTAAATAACTAATCATCTATAAATAGGCCATGTTCCACCAGGACTGGACCTGGGAAGAGCTGCGGATCGTGTCTCCTCCCTACTGGGTGCGCGCCTTAACCCGGATGTGGGGCAAATGGCGATCTAATTAAGGACCTTACTACAGTGATGCCCCAGCCAACAAGTATAAATCGGATTGTGATTATATACGTATATATACATATAACCTTAGTTATAGGAGTTAGTTCATCCATGTTCATCCCATTTATAACCATTAGAGACTGTTAGTTGGGCCATGAGTGTAGGGAATATGATGACTTAATGAATCTTAATGATATGGGTATGAATGGGATATCATGACCCCAATTTGCACCAATGACTGAAATTTGTTTAATGATATGAATGGGCCGGATATAACGACCCCAATTCTGATGCACCAAGCGGATAGGGATTTATCGATTGAAACGTGGTTAGTTTTGGCACAAAACATTGGGAAATCAAGTGCAGGCTAGTCTTGTACAATTTACATAATCTTCTGCTATACATGGGGAATTTAGCAACGAAAAGCAACATGTTTGTATTTCATACTTATTGGGGTTGTATCCCAAGCTACTGGGGTAATTACTATTGTTTTACAGTATACGCATCCATAAAGATCCACAAGCTGGTCAAAAAAAGTCGCTCAATAATGGCCTCAGCAGCCAAGCCAGGCGTGGTGTGTCAGATCCAATCTTCAGAACCATACATATCTAGCCAGTTGGGGGTCAAAACACATATTTCGCGCTCTACTGCTAGTGAGATTCTGCATTTTTATCGTGGGAAACCAACCCGGAATCGGTGACTCCACAGACAAGGAACCGGTTGGTTTGTGGTACAGTGGCTTTGGGCAAAATTTCGGCGCAAATTTGGATGGTTCATATCAGACATTACCGATATCTCAGGGGGCGTAATTGTTACTACACCTTTATATTACAACATGTATCAATATGTATGATATTATAATTGTGTTTTTAGATTGGTGTATTTATTTATATACATATGAGCGACGGCTTGTATTTGGGTAAATGGAGAATAGTATTGTGGCATACCCTGGTTTGTCGAAACATCATAGTTAGGTTGTAAAACGAGGTAGGAACACCCCGAGAACGAAGTAGGCATCGCACGCAAAGCATTTAGCTATTAAAAACAAGTGCGGCATTGGAGAACGAGGTCAGACCCCAAAAAAACTGACGGGACTGGAGAACGAGGCAGGAACACCCCGTCAATTTTGTTTTTTACCAAATAACTTCCGGGGCTATATGTGTACAATTCTGTCCCCGGCTTAGTTGGTTCAACGGTTGAACGTCTTTTTGTGAGTGATGTGGTAAACCCATTTTTAAACCGCCCCCAACATATGACCATAAATGGGTGGTACAACAAATCCCCAATGGTAGGTGGCATTGGTCCCGCATTGGGTGTACAAGACAATCTCAGGTGCCAACAGATGGACGTCCGTGGCGAAGCAAGGACTGGGCAGACGTTTGTGGTTGAAACTGTTCACCCAGAAACCAAGCGAGGGAGTTTGTAGCTCAAGTCTTGTGGTCGATTTCTGGCCGTTCACTCTGTTCACCCTCCAGTCATCCCATGAAAAATAGGATTTCCCAGCCAGCCATGTGTGCTTTGGTGTGGCTAGCAATGGGCCCCGAACATCCCTTGCTCCGCCTAAAAAGCGAGGGAACGATTATCACATGGTTTAGAAGCCTGGACTAACGAGGAGTTATGGATGTTTATGGTAGATATCTCTATGCCTAGATCGGGCTAGAAACCAACAAACACAACTGGGGGACACTTCCTGTACTAACTATGGATACAGGTGAATTATGTAAAAAAAACAGCGACTTCACGACAAATGAAGGTCATCAAGGGAAACCTGCTTTACCATGATTTAATTCTTGGACTGGCGAATATGACAAATATGTATATATATATATATAGAGTATATATATATATGATATATGTATGATATTATATGACAATATAGATAATATTATATACGCTTAGATATCTTGGAATCAATAATGCAAAGTTTCGCAGATGCGTTTTTCAGGATCTGCACGCCGCGAAGCTTCGAGTGGCCAAAGGCGAAAATGGGTCGTCTATAGAGATGGTGGATACCTATCATGGTAAGATCATGTGATATCAAGTACCCTCGGGTAAACTAACATGACTATGGAAAATCACCATTTTTGATAGGTATGTCAACTATAAATGACCATTTTCAATAGTTTACTAGGGGGTAACGTCAATGCGGAAATTGACTAATTAATGTTGGGGAAAATCTGCAGGAAATATGGGGCCGTCCTGTAAGTTTTCCCTCAATTGTGAGATTTAGCAGCAGGTTTTTTGAAGTATAGTATGTCAATGGCCATTCCAGGAACCCAAATTGGAGGTACCTATCATGTATAAGGCCTGCGTAAGGCCTATCATTATGGAATTTCCATTGATTATGTTTGGACAAAGCCCTTTTTGGCAGTTGACTATATAGCAGGCTATGACTGAGGATGTGATGGGATAATCCTTCGGAGCTGATCGAAGTTGACCTGTCTTGGCCAAAGTATGTTACCCCGCGGTTTTGTAATTTGATTACAAAGTTTGGCCATGGTAAATTAGCTCATAAATGTACTGACAAATTGTGTTCATATCCCAGTCTCATTTGATTCCTTACTCATTTGTTATAAATGTACAGTACAGATTAAGTGTTTGACTGGGAAATGGAAATGGTAT